TCTAAATTGTATTCAAATATTACGCTGTCGTTTAAAATATTGTACCCCTTAACATCGTATACATAAACTGAACACGAATGTTAAGAAATAATATTTTTAGAAGAGATAAATGCACAGCGGAGGGAAGAAAAGTTGTAAGTACTAAGATGAAATCACTGACAAATGCATATCTATATACATATAAAAAAAATATTTTTATTTTTTACGACTCAGGCACGCATAAACCGGTTGAATAACTTGCGTAAGAAGTATACTCTCGCATTTTATTGCCTACACCGACGGTTGACTGTACGGGTAATGAGAATTTGTTTAAATTGTTTAATAATTCCATTAAAATCTCGAAAACCCATTTTAGACTTAACCTAAAATCATAAAATAGTCTTCGTGTATCAAAATAACTGCATGTGTGAAACGACAATATAATATATAATTTTTATTTTCTAAACCAAAATATCTATACAAAGCAATATTTATACAGCGGATGTTAAGAAAATTAATCATAAATTTATATTTCTATATAATATACAAAATAATAATATATAGTTAYTTAGGTATATTATGATAGATGAAGTTTTTTAAGTAATTTTAATAAATTTTAATATAGTAAAATAATATTTTTCAGTTAAAAATGAAATTAATATCAACTATCAATATCCTGAGGAGTAAAATGTATGTATATATGATTAATAGGTATATAATACACGTATAGAGCTAATTTTAGTATGGTAATATTATTTCTTCTCCTCCTAATATTTTTGTAAGGATTTAACTAATCTATGATTACGTTATTATGATATAGTGGCCATAACAAATCATGTACTCGTATAACTTTCAACAAATGCTGATCGTGTTTTATTTTTCCGTAAAAATAAAAAATTTCTCTGGTGTAGAAAGAATGCAGTCGTGACTGGTGTGCGGTGTGAACGTGTATAATATATATACAACTCGAGAATTGCTGTGAACTATGCAGCTGTCATTTAATTTTTTGATCAACTTGTGTCTTCCAAAATATGAAAATTATTCGGAATAAAAACAAAATGTTAAACAAATGTATTTATTACACGTATTAAGCTGACAGTAACATATCAACTACGAGTATATATTATATTATATTATTCAGGCTTTGAATTATAATTTCTAAACATGAAAATTATTTTTATTTGTGTCGATTAACCGAGTTATATAATACAATATTATTTATTATACAAATAAAATAGTATTAAAGTGTTGAACTTTTATATTATACATGGGCGCTTCAGCCTAATACTTCCTTCCCCTGACCTAGTTTCTGTTTGTATTTTGTATGGGTGGGTAGTTCCTCTATCTACCTACACAGATTTTTTTTTTATAATGCAATCAGCAATCGCTGTTGCTCGTCCAAAAATCTACATACAACTGCAGCTTAAGAATAAATTGTAACAAATGATTATTTTGTTTTTGTCGATTTCATAATGTTGTTTACTATATTTTTACTTGTATTTTAAAATGCAAATAATTATCGAGTATCAATATATTTTTAGATAGGTACAAACGATAAAATTCGAACAATAGGTCGTTTGATTATTTACTGATATTGGCTTCAACTTGTTTTTCTAAACTGTATAATGCGTATATCTATATACATTTTTTTAAATTTTAAACACGTTTTATTGCTGCTATCACGCAAAAATGTTTAGTTAATATGTGAAGATCGTTATTTAAAATGCCTCACGCGTGCAGACACGAACTAGATCAAAATGTTCATTATAAGAAATATTATGTTGTTCGTATATATATATATATATATATAAATAAATTTTATAAGTATTATATATTAATATTATCATGTTATATACAGACATATTTTTATCTTAGCCATGTCCATATAAAATGTATTATATTAATGTTTAATTTAACACTGGCTAATAATAAAATAGGTACGCTGTATCTTGGCCGTGTGATCACGAAGTGTTCGTGGGCGGTTACCAAATAATAGCAGATAGTAATTTAATTTTGGGTCTGGATTTTTTTCGTCTCTCGAACCGAACATAACAGGTGTAAAAGATGTATCTGTGACCCTCGCATATGACAGTGGTGTGGGTATTTTGGCGCCAGCCGATATAATAGCCCCTCGGGCCCCTCTTCTTCATACACCTACCTACTACACGCATAATCTCTATTGTGCGTACCGCCGAGGTTCGATTATTAATATGAAGAGATGCGTGTATATATAGGTACTCGCGAGAAAATGAAAAGGGTCTCTAGATGTATTATAATGATATATAATATTACATTTACAAGCACGCACAAAGGTATATATTATATAATATATATTTTATAAATACGGGTGGGTATAGCGCAAAAATGTTGGCATTTCGTTTAAAAACTATTTTCGTGAGAACCGAACACATATAATATTTCGAWGTGTTATTCATATTCACGAGCGCTCGATGGTAGTACATTCTAATATTATAATCCCAATAAGCTACACTATCAACTGTCCATATCATGGTTTATGGCCGAACCGTGTTGAGTCTTCGTGTACTTGGCTCCCGAACTGATACACGAATAAGATATGTACAGCGTGTTTATGTATTTTTATTTATAATAATGTAATGTATAAACAAAAATAATATATAATATAAATAATATATTATATCTATTATAAACATATACATATATGAACATACATTATATAATATATGAGAGCGTGTGTATAGAAATTCAAGATTGAGAAGACCATTGTATGGGTCAACAATGTACACCTAGAAGGGGCTGGTTGAACTGGAGGAGAAACAGAGAAGGAAAAAAACCGAGCCT